GGCTCCATGCCGCTTCATTACGTGTGCTTCTTGGTCGTTGTTCATAATATCAATCACTGAATTGCCTGCACGATGTCACCACGTTCCTCAAATGTTGCTGAGTGAGGTGTGAAAAGACACACACAAAGAACTGAAATGGTGAGTGCAGTAACGACTGTGCAACGTTTGGTGGCTACTCACTCATTATTCGCACTGAGAGGGTGGTGGTGGTTGTGGTGGTGGTGTGTGTGTGTGTGCGTGCGTGCGTGCGTGCGTGCGTGCGTGCGTGCGTGTGTGTGTGTGCGTGCGTGTGTGTGTGTGTGTGCGTGTTAATGGTGGTAAAATCGTACACGCCGAAAGTCCGGGTTCGTTTCCCTAAATAAGAACTGTGTTTAAAGAAAGAAACGTAAAATAATACTCACTCACTCATATTTTCTGTTAGAGGGCGTGTTCAAGAAAATTTTGAACATTAAATCATGATTGTAATCGAACTTACGGAATAAATCAAAACTCCGTCCATTGTGCTACCCATAGAGTATTTTATGTTTTTGTTGGCTGTTTTACACTGCACTCAGCAATATCCAGTGATTGATATCATGAGCATGGATCTACACAACTGTGTTACGACGACACGCAATCAACCAAGGCACCGAGCCTGACACTCGGTACATTTCATCGCCTTCTACGACAAGCATGGGATGCTGGTATGTATCTTCTCGCCAGGCATCCCATGGATGTGTTTTAATGAGATTGTGGGGCTATTGTAGTGGCACGAGTGTGACATAACGTTATGACTGTAAGCGTCATTCATTGGAAGACTATAACATACGTGTTCGTGGGCGTTGTATTGGTTTGGAAATACAACGCCCTGTTATTGAACGTTGGACCTCTGACAATGAGGACACACTGTGACGTCATGCGGCGAATACTGTTACAGTACATCTATGTGGAAATCCCAAGAATCGACTTGAACCGAATCTGACTCATTGAACGATGTTATGACTTAAATTACATTTTACCGTGGCGTGTGGCTTCATAAATGAGAGAATAATGGCTATTCGGGTTACACGCCACTTTAGCCTACAACAACAGTGATATATCACAACAGCAATGACAATAGCCGGGGTCTCCGGGGTCAGGTCTTCACAAGATGCTGAACAGATCGTATTTCTTTCATGTAAATACAATATAATAATACGAAATGATATATACATGGTTTTGATGAAGCTGATTAATTGTCCATCTCAGAGAGAGAGAGAGAGAGAGAGAGAGAGAGAGAGAGAGAGAGAGAGAGAGAGAGAGATATTTAACCCTTTGGAGATAAGGCACCTTACTATTATTTGCATGTGAATGAGTACAAATTTGATAAAATAATAACTTTATTGTGTGTGTGTGTGTGTGTGTGTGTGAGAGAGAGAGAGAGAGAGAGAGAGAGAGAGAGAGAGAGAGAGAGAGAGAGAGAGAGAGAGAGAGACGTTGTGTTCCTCATAATAAAGAAGTTGACATCCATACATTCTGTTCCTAATGTGTATCACTCCTAAATGCCATTGAAAAACTCGACAGATAGTCCCATCTTATGTATAGCAATGATATAAACTGGTCAAACATATTCATATGTTCATAGGACACTCTTGTAGAATTATTAGAGACTGTAGTATATACAGTATAAAATAATACCTTTCTTCACAATATGAAAGTAAGGGTATCTGTTTAAAATATGCTGGTATAAAATTCACGAAATTAAAGGCACTAGGTATAACTTACATTCAATAATACATTAATGCGCATTACATTACTTGAGCACTACATCTGGTCATCGATATGACGAACACTTATTTCCGTTTATGTGATAGCAATTTAAACTATTTGTAAATTTTTATACCCAATAATCCATCACATAATGTCATTTATTGTATGTCGAGTTATATTTCCATATTATTGACGTTTTCCATAACGGTTTCGCTTTGTTTATAACCCAGAATAATCCGACCAATCACATCTCACAACGAAGTAATAATCATAAACATATTAAGAAGCTGTTGTGGTTTGTTTACTTCAAGCCTCGGGGCAAATCTACGCACAGCTGTGGAGTGCAGTGTACTTGAAGGACGATTTCTTAGAATGGAAAAGTACATTAGCATTAAACCGTTAGCTATTTATAATGTAGTTAGTCACCTGTTTATACATCACTGTCATTACCACGTGCGCCTTTTAATGGCCTCCTTCATACTTAAAATGCAATCGATTAGTGTCATAAAATAAAGGTGAAGCATGAGAGTTTTGCTTCATTGAGTCATGTGAGTGAAAATAAGTCAACTCGACCTTCTGCGGCTGTTGTTCGGTCTCGTTGCTAGCTTAGTGGGTAATGTTGTTGTTTGTTTGCTGTTTAACGCGCGCTCAGCAATATTCCAGCTATATGACGGCGGTCTGTAAATAATCGAGTCTGGACCAGACAATCCAGTGATTGACATCATGAGCATCGATCCACGCAATTGGGATACGATGTCATGCATGAACCAAGTCAGCGAGCCTGACCACCCGATCCCGTTAGTCGCCTCTAACGACAAGCATAGTCGCCTTTGCGGCAAGCATGGGTTGTTGCGTTCCTCGCCATCACGCTCAGACCGGTTCTTCCCATGTGTACATAGGGAGAAGCCTGTGTCACCGTGTGTCGTGCGTCACCGCGTGTCTCAAATAACGTGTGTTTGCCATAAGTTGATATCCGTTAAAACGTCTAAAGCTGTTATTTTGTTTTAAAACCCATATAGTCCGTTGCCTCGGGATACCTAGACTAACATTTAGTCTCTGAAATCTTATATTACACAATATCCTTCTTGACTCTAAAAATAAAAAAAATTCCCTATGCTGATTTCAGAATAGAGCTAGCCATTCGTGACCCAACTCGTGTTATTCCGGGACAAGCCGAATAGCGACTCGTGCCCCTCTCATGGCCATTTTTGTGACCGGGTTCCGTCTTAGCGCAGACGGGCATACCTAAAACAATTGTCAACTCGTTGCGTAATGGTTCACATTTATTTCCCCATATATTATATATATTTCAGATGCAATTTAAAGCCCATCGAGACATGTGGAATTATACAGTATGATTGAACACATTTAACTGTGTCTTGGGTATATTTTTAGATGCAAGACATATGTAAAATAAAAAAATATTTCTGAGGGCTTCTTTGACGAAGAACTTGAAATCATACGCGCATTCTGATTGGTTTGTCGTATTTTCGCACATAACATTCATCGATAGGGGGACGAGTCTTCTTCCAGGCTACGGAAAGGGGCGAGTGGTGACGAATGTAGAGCTAGCTTGAGCTGGCTAGACTTGCTTTTGTATGCATTTCTAGATTATTATTTTTTCATAAAATAAATATATTTATATGGTGGAAATATTCACATAGAAAAAGAAAGTAACTCGTTCATTCGGACGATTACCATCTTCCTGAGGCAAGAGCTTTAACTGACTATAAAAGTCCAGTTTCCACCCTTGCCGAAATAGGCTGGTATTATGGAGTTTCAATTTGGCTGGACTAACGAGTCGGTGCATAGTCCAATCAAAATCGCGCAACGAAATCGAAATCCGGTTCGTAAACGTTCTTGCAGATTTCGGTCGATTGCAGGATTTGCCAAGCATGTGCACCGCCAACTCTTTGTCAACAAATATTTTCCAAATCTTTTCATGTTTTAAATCAAGGTGTTCACGTGATTTCATACACTTCGCGATCTAAGACCCGTTTTATCACAATATGGATCTTGATTATCGATCAGATCGTCTTGACTTGGCGCCGCCATTTTGTTTGAAACAAATGCAAGAGATACGAGAGGTGGAATCTGATTGGTCCATAGGAGAGGTTTAGAGGGGACATACCTCGTAATAACCACTGGTGGTGCTATGATCGAGCCCAGGAATTCCAGCCTAGTTCGGCAAGGGTGGAAACTGGACTTTTAAAGTCCGTTAACTCTCTTGACTCGGGAAGATGGACGATTACCTAAAATGCTACTATTCGGATTAACGAGGTATCCCTGTAACGAGGATAAAAGGTTTATGTACCTCGATATAGCGCTGTTTTCACATAACACCCATGATATGAAGATTTCCGGTAACTGATAAATGAAGGGGCCCGTGAAGATCCGGGGTAGAATAGATCTTCAGCAACCCACGCTTGCCGCAAAAGACGACTATGCTTGTCGTAAGAGGCGACTAACGGGATCGGGTGGTCAGGCTCGCTGACTTGGTTGATGCATGTCAGTTGTGTGGGTCGATGCTCATGATATCAATCACTGGATTGTCTGGTTCATCCTCGATTATTTACAGACCGTCGTCATATAGCTGGGATATTGCTGAGTGCGGAGTTAGACAACAAACAAACAAATAAACAATTATGAATGATGGAACATCACGAGTTGTTTGTCGCCACTGTACTTGAAGCGAACGTCTTGTGTGAGACAAGGTATCGACGCACCTGCTTCATCCGGTAATCTGAGGTGAGGTGAGGTGAAATTGGGTTTAACGTCGCGTCCAAGATTATTGCACTTATATAGCGACGTTCCGGTAATCTGAACACAATCTCGTGCACATTGCGAGTGAGATGCAAATAAAATATATTGTCTCTGTCTGTCTGTCTGTCTGTCGGCAATCTAGTTGTAAAAATATTGATGCAGCCGTGACAGTTCGACGGATGAAACAATGTGTAAATAATTTCATTAATTTTGCATTGTCTTCATCCCTAAAATCAATATTTACTTTCGACTCCGACTTGGGCCTCGCCTAATTAACTCAAGACGAACAGATGGTTAATACGATACAGCTATATAATGCTATTGTTTACAACAGAAAACGGAAGTTTCATATAGAAATGATAGCTTACAAAAGTGGTATTACCGAATACGATTAAAATAACGCGTCGACGAAATGGTGCGTTGCTGTTTCCTAGAAACAGATCCGGATGGCAACAGATCACGTGACATACTCGTCACAGTTTGTGAGTGTTGTGAAAGCCAGGCAGTGAAGCGAATCGATAGTCTCTCGATAGTCGGACATACAGGTAACTACAGTCCGACCGGCCCGGATATTGCTCGGCAGAGCTCGCACGAGGAAGAGACAGGTCTCACGCAGTTCTGTGAAATCCGTTTAGATTCAATCCATTTCAATTCAGTCAACACACATCGATGTCTACAAATATTTCGGAGACATTGTCCAAGAAACTTCACTCAAGGAAGTAACGATTTCGCACCTTTTCCCTGTCGTCTGCTTGTGACCGCCTGCTTGGATTATCGTCTGCTCGGGCTAGGATAAACGCCACGTTTCGCCCGCCTGTGAGGTGAAGTCAACTCGCCCCACCCAAACACAACTGAACACACGTGTTGATGATGTTGCAGTGAAAGAGATGTCGTGGAATGACGGCGGAGGGGGAACCTAAGACATGACACTAAAAGGACTGGGTACCAATGCCTCCATTTACAAAACTCCCGACGACAGCCAAAGCTCCAACGACACAGATTCAACATGCACGGAAGTGGGTGAGTTGTTCACATTATCGTCACCAGATGCACAGCTACATGCTGATTACCAATAGATACAGTGTACAGTAATCATAGCATTGTCATTCATCAAACGATTCGAAAAACGTACACAGATAAAGACAACATGTCGTCAATCCCTTAGCAGGTGATCAGGTCGGTAAACAACAAAATACAAACTTTAGGATAAGATAACACTTCTGGGTCAATGTAATACATTGTGAGAGGCTGTCCGAATTACCTAAACAATGTCTTGGTGATAATACACCCTGCCAATACCTGATAGATAATCGGCAAACGGTATGTCCATGCAAGATAAATTTGATCTCAATCTTATTATCATACATGTACCTCCTGCCCAAATATTATCATATATTCAAATTATTTTGATTGGTATTCCATCCGTGTTTCGTAAGTAGATGAACTGAATAGATTAGTCGAGAGAAACTCACTCTTGCCAAGCCACGACAGATTAACACAGAATTGCCCTAAGGACATACATTGATGAGAGCCTACAATGATATTTGCATAAACGATACATGTCTAATCAGATAACAAGAATCCGTTCGTTTTATGATGTGGAAATACGTTGCCACATGTCACACGTGGTATTTTGTCATGACCGATTTAAAAGCCAAGAGATCGTACCACACGTTCTTGCGCAACACTTCCGTGTGTGTCGCTCATGTTGATTAAAGGGCGGGGCAAGTCAAGCTGTTTCAAACACACGCGGGGGTTCAGTTCACACACATTTAAGTTATTCTTTTATCAAATTTGTATTCATTCACATAAAAAAAAGTAAGGGATAAAACTATGTCCATTGTATTTATTAATGTGTGTGTGTGTGTGTGTGTGTGTGTGTGTGTGTGTGTTAATGTGTGTATGTGTGCCCATGTGGGGAATCGAACCCAGGACTGCGGGTGATTAGTGAACCCTTTAACCTCTAGGCCACCCTACCGACTAATACATTCACCTTGGCATCGGGGTCAAATTCGAAAGTTCAGCAATTCAGAGAACGTTGTCACGAGTTAGATAAAAGTCTATACCTATATCACACCAATTTTGTTAATGGAATTCACACTGTCATCGTCACGTGACGAAACCCTTCCCTAATTAAATATAATCAAACGTGTATGTTACACTCTATTAAGGCGATTATGCTATTATCTTCAAACGGAAAGGACACATGATATGTTAGTGAAGCATTCATTACACAAGACTCAATCTTATTAAAGTAATAACGCATTCACGCTCTAAGACGTCGATGTAAATGCCTTGTGAAAATAATCCAGTCAATATCCCATTCCTGAGTATTCCTGGTCCCATATTTATTATTTAGGTCAGTATATCCCACGTGGGTGTAAAGCTGGTAAGACCCGGCCTCGCGCATCTGGAATTGTTACCAACAACTTTCCTCTTCGAATAGGGCGACAAAATTGAAAAAGAATGACGGAATGGTGAAAATGTTTCGAAATGTAAATCGAAACAAAAAATGTATACAACGCACCTCATATTCAGTGAACTGACGAATATTATTTTTTTGTATATATGTACTACATTGAAATTAAATAGTGGTGTGGATATTGCAGGTATATTGAAAAATTGTTGTTTGACGATGAACTCAGCTATCAGGATGTGACCACCGATTCACTAAGTCGCCTCTCATGACAAGCCCTGGTTCCTGGGTGCTTCCAGGTGTAACATTTGTCGATACACCATGTTTAACTTACGCGTTCCGCTGCCTGTATTCATAGATGTATTAAATTTTCTATAAAATCAAAACTGAAATTTTCGTTGATCACACGCTCACCGTTCCTGAAAGCACAGTGTATTTACTTCGTTTGTAATGTTCTAACAACATACTATTTCATGTTTTGAGGGTTGAGGATTTTCCTATGCTATATGACCGCCTCCGTTGTCTAGTGGTAGAGCGTCCGCCCGGAGAGCGGAAGGTCAGGGGTTCGATCCCCGGCCGCGTCATACCAAAAGACGTTAAAAGATGGTACTTGTTGTTACCCTGTCTGGCGCTCGGCATTAAAGGGCTAAAACAAGGACTGGTCGGCTCGGAGTCAGTATACTGTGTCTGAGTTGGGTATCCATGTTAAACTGCGGCATGATATCTCAGTGTGCTAGCACTATAAATCGGCATCAGTCCGGACTAGTACAAGCAGCCACACACACACATACACGTGCATGCACGTCGCTATATAAGCGCAATAATCTTGGACGCGACGCTTAAACCCAATTTCACCTCACCTCACCTCCTATGATATATGCCTGTCGTTAGGATTGTAAATGACATTTGATCTGAGGTCTACGTGGACGTGTGTATTTCCTGTTATACTACGGGCACGTCATGTGCCGTGATGATAGGCTATCTCGCGGTGTTTCTGTGGTAGTGAAAAGCACCCTATGGGTGAAGTGTGAAACGGACTGAACACGTGATGCTTAAATGCAAGACTATGCAAATGTTATCGTTGTTACATGAGCTCCCAATCTGAACCAGACGTAGATGTCCTCAGGGAAAATCTTTGAATAGGCGATTAGTGAATGAGTGAGTTGTGTTTTACACCGCTTTTAGAGTACATCAGAAATGTGGTTGCATTATATACATCTAATAAATCAGGAAGAACATTTAAAAGGATTATTCTAGTTATTAAGAGTCACAGCTGGCTCAATGTTCTAAGACAGCGCATCTCGTAGTTCGAATCCCAGATACGTTTAGATTGCGACCCTTGGTCACGGTTTCAAATTCCTCCACCATTAAGCTGGTAGAATATTCTTATGGTGTGTGTGTTGGGGTGTTGGAGTATTAATACTATAGACAATATTCAACTATCCCGATTGACGTCAAGAGTATTTATAATTCTGGTTCACCCGTGAAGATTCCGGGATAGAATAGGTCTTCAGCAACCCATACTTGCCGTAAAAGGCGACTATGCTTGTCGTAAAAGGCGACTAACGGGATCGGGTGGTCAGGTTCGCTGACTTGGTTGATGCAGGTCATCGATCCTAATTGCGTGGATCGATGCTCATGATGTTAATCACTGGATTGTCTGGTCCAGACTCGATTATTTTACAGACCGCCGTCATATAGCTGGAATATTGCTGAGTGCGGCGTTAAACAACAAACAATCAAACAAACAAACAAATATAATTCTGGTTCACAAACATTGCAATATTGTCAGTGATGGTGTGATATTTTGTTTGCCAACCCATGTTTCCTTTGTTTCGCTTCAGTGTGTTTCTCCAGCTGATGTAGATATGCTATTTCCATATCATAGTCATCAAGAGCTCTAAGTGCAGGTCTAAGGGAAGACATCCGTTTAGTTTCCGTCACTGTGTTGGTGCAGGATTGAAACGGCGTGATAGTGTACATTTCTGTTGTTACAGAAAACACATGTTTTGCCAAGTGAATATCTTGGCAAAACATGTCTTTTCTGTAACACGACGGTCCATCCATACACTGTCCGCCTGTGGTATAGTGGTAGAGCGTCCGCCCGGAGAGCGGAAGGTTCGGAGTTCGATCCTCGGCGGCGTCATTCCAACATACGTTATTAAGCATTACGGGGCTAAAACAAGGACTGGTTGGCTCGGAGTCAGTATACTGTGTATTCATGTTAAACTGCGGCATGGTATCTCAGTGGGCTAGCACTATAAACCCGGCATTAGTCCGGAATAACACACACACACACACACACACACACGTGCAGCACTCTTGATCGCGACGTTAAACTCACCAACTATTCACCTGATTCCGACACTATTTCACATCTTTATCTCGTGAAAATACTCATAATTCAAACGGGCGGTCGGGTAGCCTAGTGGTTAACGCGTTCGCTCGTCACGCCGAAGACCCGGGTTCGATTCCCGACATGGATACAATGTGTGAAGCCCATTTCTGGTGTCCCCCGCCGTGATATTGCTGGAATATTGCTAAAAGCGGCGTAAAACAATACTCACTCACTCACTCATAATTCAAACGTTTTCCTTGAATTATTTTTTAAAATATTTCACGAAATTCAGAAATAGAAGTGACCCGTTGTCCCATACGTTATTATAAAAGTCACTTTGTAGAAGAGCATCTATTTATAATTTCTATTTTTACAACGACCTTCTTCAGAACCACGAAGAACAAGGATTTAAATATATCCGGAAAGAAACAGGACACACACACTGTATTTCCCTACTGTCGTTCCCAAACAAAGTTTCCTCGAATCTCATGCCCCTGTAAAGGTCACTGGGTAGCATGGAGGGCGTAATTGGGAGTACGTGTGACAAACGTACCTAATGACCTGATCCAGGCCACTGTCCCCACAGCAACATAAGGTCAACAAGAGGTCACATTCTAGTTTGCTATCCTCTGGGACAAAGTTTGTTTGTTTAACGCCGCACTCAGCAATATTCCGGCTATTTGACGGCGGTCTGTAAGTAATTGGATCAATCCAGTGATTGACAATATGGGCATCGATCCACGCAATTGGGAAGCGATGACATACGTCCACCTAGTCAGCGAGCCTGACCAACCGATCCCGTTAGTCGCCTCTTCCGACAAGCATAGTCGCCCCTTACGACAAGCATAGTCGCCTTTTACGGCACTTTAATAGTCAGACCAGTTTACTTAGTAAAAAACACTATATGAATGTCATTTGAACAGTCGTACAACATAGAGTAAATCGAAACAAGTGAATATACGTAATGAGACGAAATTGTCAATTCTACCGACTCATTTCTAGATGATATTGACTCAATGTCTCCATCATAATGTGTACTGTCAACACAGGCCTATATATCCCTTATGAAGTAAACCGCCCGATATGTATGTCGACTGATGCCGCAGGACCACGCGTTATAGACGGACAATTGATTTATTTCTCTGACATGTTGTGGAGACAGGTGGTCAAATATTCGTTGTTGATTAGGAAGAGATTTTTTTTACACTAATCACAAATCGAAATGAAAGCCGTTTCTTTCGCCTACTAGAACTGCGTAAGACCATA